TGACACACAGCCGTGAGGAATCATTCATGATAACATTTTGGCGCCACACGTGATACAGGAAATCTTGACGTGCTTCAGTGGACAACATAAACCTGTTTTCTCGTGTCTTATGACGACAGTTTAATTATTTTTATTTTCGACTAGCTCGGTTCCTACCAATTCTGCTTTATTTGTTATTTATTTATTTATTTATTGTATTTATTAGTTGACAAAATAGTATAATTAATACAGTGCTGTTAATGTAACGCTTACGTTCATAGAATGTCATATTAGGGGGATCATCTAATATTGATATTGAGAGTAAATATTGAGTAAAGATTAAGATATTGACAGAAATTATCCTAAAATAGTATCGAAATATACATGCAAAATCAATTTTTAACTCTAGGATTCACTTGAAATATTTTCAGTCAAATAACATAGCAAAAAGCATCCTATTTGTTGATATCTTTAAACCATGCTAAACATTATTTTGTGTCATGAAGGAAACTATTGGTAATGTAATATATAACCGGTTCCTCCATAAGAAAATGAAACTGATTATTAAGATAACAACGACAACATCTTGACGTTGGTTAACCGTCCACACTCGTCGTGTGTGGATTGTCGGATTACCTCTAGTGACATTCCTGATAGCTATCTCCCTGATTCCTGCCAACCAATCCTTTATCAACCTATCAATGTCTGTAATTATCAGGACATGTCCATTGATCTACAATAATTGATAATTGATATGCTCTTCATAAAAGACTGGTTGTTTGGGAATACACTTTAGTTAGCCTTGGTTTAAACATTACACAACAATTATGTTTTATTAAGGCAGTGCCGTTGCCATTCCTTGTTGTTTAGACATTTTTCACGATCAATTTTATTGGTTTAGTTACATGTACGTTGTTATTTCAAGAATGTTTTGGTAATTTTCTTTCATATTTAAAACGATACGCTCTATCTTATTTTCCTTGTAGTAATTTCGATCTGTCAATGTCTGCGTTGTCCTTTAACTCAATTCTTACGGTATGATTCAGAATTTACAAATCACTACGACGGATATAAGAAGTATTTCATGTTCTTACAGACAACGGTGAACCTTCCGGATTATAGGGTACTTTTTTGTTTTTCCTTAATACAGTAAATCCTTTTCCTTTCGACGATATAATTTTGCCTCCTGTTTGAGTGTTTGAGTCGTGTTTGAGTCGTCATTCCTTTGGTTTTGATGTTTGCATGTTGTTTTTCCGTATCTAATTGTGTTCGATATATTTTTCTTCTGTGTTGACGCCATGGGCTTTAACAAGAATGGGGTTACGCATTAACAAACCCACTCAATTGAGCATGGTAAGCCAAAGTGTTAGATTCAGACGTAAACGACACAACACATACCTTATAATGTTTGTATGCTTTGGTTAAATGATGGTTTCCAAGGAAACATGTTCCGGTGTCAAGCAACAATACAAAGGAATTGTAATAACTGTCTGATACACTGTGGGTGGCTGTTTAATATAGGCCCTTATCTGCACGAATGGATGATAAACCTGTGCAAGTGAATGTCGGTCTAGTTATGGTAGTTAATGAATCAATAGTTTGGTGTATTGGCGCTTTAGTTTACGCAATGTCTACCATATTAAATTACCTTAGCTGTAACGAAAACTTTAACCATTTAGCAAACTAACAACATTGATTTCCCCGAACACAATACAGTCTACATATATAAAACTTACACAGGACAGTTAGAGGTTTCGAAAAAATGTTTTTATCTACGTGATAAAATGGACATTTCGCTAGACAGAAGACACATCACTCGATTCGATTAAAACCGCTTTATTTATATTGAATCTGAGTATTCGTCATTCTTTTCTCATTCATCCTTTTTTTAAATTCCTCTTTAACCAGATACAGGAAAACGTTGATGATAAGGTCAGTAATTTCGACAAATATCCTGCCCTGCCTGATCTTATGTAGTGTATGGGATGGTTCATAAAACAAAACAAAACAAAACAGATACATTTTTCCATGTACACATTTGAATCTCAGTCGAAGTGTTGCAGTTAGCGCTGACGAGTTATTTCCCTTGTGCAACGATAACATAATGCGCGTATGTCAGTGTCGCCGACTTTAAAAGCCGCTACTTTGACCTTTTTTCTCTACTTGAAATCCTAAAGTCAGTCTAGTTACTTATATTGCACTGGCATTCTTAATGCAATCTAGGTCAATGACAGTCTGAAAGAAATCTAGCGTATCTAGAACAAAGAGACATAAGTGTATCAGCTTTCCACGAGAGTTCGTTAAGGAAACACAGCTTTATTGTGTGCTTACGTTTTGCTCGTAACTTATGTCACAATTAAAACACATAATGGAATACAAACTTATTACCGTGGTGTGAGTAGCGTATTTTAGAGAATCAGATATGCTATTAAAGCAGAGACGTATATATTACATATATACTTCTCTGATTAACGATATTTTCAACAAAATTGTTTAAATAATCCATGACAACTTCCTATGCAAAAAGTGAAGTTTTAGGAGTTGCATATTCATTGTTTATTATTCTTATTTAATTCTGATTATAGCTCTTAAAAGTCCCTTAAATGACATAAGCAGCTAAGAGGAACACTTAAACGACATCACTGTCATTCATGATTGACAAAGTAGTTACAGGCGAGAGATCGAAGATAACTGTATCTTTATGTCGTCCGTGAAAAATAAGATAAGTATTGTCGGCCTGTCTTTTATTAGTACATAACATCATACCTCTGTATGAACCACCCACTGCAGGAACAATGCATTATTCGATACAAAAGTTCGTTGAAGCTTTTCACAATCAAGTGGTTTGATGTGAGAAACTCCTATTATTTATTATTCTTTTGTATATTAAGGCAAAAATAATATGATATATTTCAATAAGTTTTTTCTTTCCTTCCGAATCCTAGATAGCTGATGCTCCAAGTTCTTCTATTTGTCTTAGGAACATAACTATATCATATATTTTTCGGTGATATGGGTTGTCATGCATGTGCGATACAGATATAGCTGCGAATATACCATAAATGGACACGCGCAATATTCACACAGCACGCGCTGTATCCGCTCAGTACGCACCATATCAATTTTCCTTCCAGTTCAATACACTCGATTTGGTTTGAAAAAAAAAAANTAAAAAAAAAAAAAAAAAAAAAAAAAGAAATTGGACTTAAACAATTAAAGCTGTAGTACATGATAAAAATGTTATAATATCTACCCGAGACCCTATATCAGCTAGATGACTGATATTTTCGAGAGTTGATACAGAGTAGGATAACAAAGTGGTCATGTGAAGATTCATCACGTAATCGTGTATCAAGTATTCCGAACCATATACATGTATTAGGTGTATATGATCGTCCGGAAAAATTAGCGAAACTTAGAGCACTGGTAAAGATCCGTGCTTGGATATTCCTCTAGTGGGAAATATAGTAAGAGGCTGGAGGATGGCTAATATTAACGCTATTTATAAAGGTAAAGGATTAGTTAATGAGGTGTCTAATTACAGACCAATCTCTGTTACTTCATGTTTTAGTAAAATGTTAGAAAAAAAAAATCATTTTTAAATATCTATATAATTACCTCAGTACATATAAAATCATTGCAAAACACCAGTCTGACTTTACACCTAAAGATTCAACTGTAAATCAATTATTGTCTATTTACCATACCATTGTTAATTGCCTAGATCAAAATAAAGAAATCAGAATTATATTCTGTGACATAAGCAAGGCCTTTGGTAGAGTTTGGCACAATGGTCTGCTTTACAAGTTGGAATCATATGGTGTAAAGGTAATCTTTTAAATTGGTTTCGTAACTTTTTATCAGACAGAAAACAGAGAGTACTAACTGAAGGTTATACATCAACCTTTGACCCTGTTCAAGCAGGGGTTCCACAAGGCTCGGTCCTCGGTCCGTTATTGTTTTTAATATACATGTATATAAATGATATTGTTGATTGTGTTTCCAGTAAAATTAAATTATTTGCAGATGACCCCTCTCTCTATGGTATATGTGATAATAATCCCATTGAATTGGCACACAATCTTTCCAATGACTTGACTAATATTAAGCTGTGGACCACTAAATGGGACATTAAATTTGATCCTTCTAAAACTGAATCCGTAATTTTCTCAAGGAAAACTAATAATAATCAGCCTATTGTTAATTTTTATGACGCACCAATTGTTGAAAGCAAAACATTTTACACTCACAATCATCTGTGTATAAATCTCCTACTTAATGGCTGTAATAGTTGTAATGATATACAAAATAGAGATATCTTATCTCATGTATCAAACTTTATATCACAATCAAAAAGATTTTCATTAATATAATATTTTTCAAGTTATATGTAAAAAATAACACCCCCCCCCCCCCCCCCCCCCAGTGAACTACAATGATATAGTAGTACAAGATATACATCATGTAATAAAATATGGAATTAACTAGATACTTTATTCTGCCTTTGATAATTACTTAGATGGTTTTTTTTTCCTTTTTGTGTGTGTGTGTGTTTTTGTGGTTTTTTTTTGTGTTTTTAATTACTTCATTACTTGCAGGAGCTGGTGTAGCCCTACTTACAAATTATAATAATCCAATATCACCAAATATTATACTCAACAGTTTACCTTATATGAATACCAGTAACTCATTGTCTAATACTTGATATTATTCACTGAAGATAATAGTCTAGTAAAAATCTCAAATTAAATATCCCTAGTGAAAGGGTTACTATATCTCAAGAATACTGAACAAGTCTGTTTACATCAAGTAGTAACTTCCCCTTATCCCAAACATCATATCAATGTACAAATATATGTCTGTGTTTCTTATCATCTGTTGTCACTTTAAGGAGAGGACTTAGATAGGCTTTGCCTGATGTCTGATCCTATTGACTATTGCTTATATTGTCAATAAAATTTGTTGAAATTGAAATCGAGGCTGACCGTAGCCCGAATATAACCTTAAGCGGGTGGCTTATACTCCCTGTACATTAAGCTAATAATATGACCATGCTACATTATTACCATGACGACGCTACCATAAATTGAGCATAGCGTTCACTGTGCTGTATAGTTTCTTACGTAATCATCCATAATACTGTCTGCCTTAATCATCTAATAATGCATTGATAAATCTTACGTAATTAAGGGCCATTTCAACACCATATGTTTCTCTTTTGGATCCGATCACGTCCTGTTTCGGATTGAAGAACGATGGGATTTTATCTTCCAACAGACATGCCTCACATCTGCGATATATATCTCGGATCAAGTCAATATCTATATCCCTTTCGATCGTCTGTACGTTTCGCTCTTCAGCCGGTCCATATACATATCCTAGTCTCTTGCGTTTGATAGGGGGACTGGGAGATTCAGGATCAACATCACGTACTGCTCTTTCAGAATTTGCTTCGTTCTTTCCATGAAAGACATGTTGTGCCTTTTCATTCAGAGTATCGGTATCGTAGACACTTTCCAGTCCTTCTCGTTCCACCTTGTCCTCTAGGGCAAACAGGAACATCATTTTGAGATAATAGGACGGCACCACATCACCTGCCGTAGCAATGAACGTGACTTCCTCGGAGTCGGACAATGTTGTCACGTAAGGTGATTGTCTTAATAACGCTGTGTCCTCCGTTTCCTCAACACTGCCTAAAGGGCACACCACTGAAGAGTTGAGCAAAGACTTTGCAGTGGTGTAGCTGTTCCTGACACGTGGCTTTAACTTCCGAAATATTGCAGTTTCCTGTAATGACATGGAAGAACGCCAGAGCTCCTCAGATGCATTTGTTGGTGTCTTGGATACAGCCATACCAGGAATCATAAGAATGTCCGGCGTCACAAGTTTATAATCCCGTCGAATTTGCTCTGGCCAGCAAGGGAGCCGGATGGCAGGAACAAGATCAACGTTGATATCCAATATCTTGTAACGGCTACCTCGCCATTGCAAGGACAGCGCAGGTTCAACGGTTACTTCCTGTATCAGAAGATTCGGGTGTTTCGGGAAACTGGAGCTAAGCAGGATCTTTTTCAACAACTGACTGAAGACATCATACATGAGATAACAAGGGATCTGCCTAGAATCTCCTACGGTGAGATCTAAGACGGTTCCAGTATTGACCTCATCTTTAACGTGTATCATAACATAATCGGCAATGTTTGCTGTTATTGTTGTTAGAGGAATGTTTCCCAATCGTTCACCAATGGTAGCAGTCGCGTCTGTACCTGCTGTAGACTGTGAGACAAATGTGGGTGTATCTTCCTCTTGAAATGTCGGATAAGTCTTTTCACTAAATTCTTCCAGACAAAACATGAAATCGTATTCGTCGGGATATCTTGTTTTCGTTCCTTCGGAAGAGCTTCCTGCTCGTAGTAATGTTGCTTTGAAGTTTGGGTCCAACTCGGCTAGCTTTTTCGAAATATGTTGTGCGACCTCTTCTACTGCATTTTGTATATCTCGTGCTTCGTCTTCAAACATCACGCAACCAACACCAGGCGTTTGAATAACGCTATCACAAAACTGGCCGATATCTTGTACGGACCTGGCAATTTTGTCGTCTTTCTCCAGCAGACAATTGAACTCGTCCGCACTAAGCAAATCATTAGCGTATGCTGAAAAAGTCTTGATTGAAGAACCTTTGTTCTCATCGCCACTCTCAAGGATGCTTATTACCTCTGCACATCTCAACACCGCTGTGTCACGAGGGATGCAGCCTAACACGTCCTTCATTTTCTGATCGGCGCCGTGGTCAATCAGTGACTGCGTGGCAGACCAGGAATCGGCCCAAGCAGAGAAATGCAGCGGCGTTGACAAGTATTTGTCAGTAGCGTTCACAGACGCTCCTTTGCCAAGAAGAAAAGGAACAGCGTCGGAACAGTTAGCTGCTGCTATATGTAACACTGATGCTCCATTGCAATCCCGCGATTCTATGTCAGCGGCATTATCGACAAGAACCTGTGCAATATCAGGATTCCCATTAGCGACAGCTTCATGAAGTGGTGTACAGCCCCAAAAATCACAGCAGTCAACATCACAGCCACACGATATTAAAGTCTGTATGGTGTTAACGCTGTTCCTTGACTCCTTGCCTGAGGCAACGTGCAGAAGACCTTTTCCTCGACCATCTTGGCAACGAACATCACATCCCCTTTGCACCAAATGTTTTATTACCACACACAGACCTTCAGACGTCGCAATATGAAGTGCGCTTTGGCCAGTTACTGTGGAAAGATTCATAGTCTTAGAGTTGGTCAACAAACAATCGAGTTTGCCAACAAAGTCTTCCTCTGTGAACGTATCTGTTGGTATAAATGTTTCGATCATATAATGCACAGGGCAATATCCTTTTCGGTCTTGGTCATCAAGCATACCTCCATGTTTAACGATGATAGCGATCGATGTATACATATCGCTGCACTCGCATGCGTGATGAAGTGGTGTTTTCCCTGCCTTGTCTTTCATATTCACCAACGCTCCATCCTTAAGAAGTCTTGCTATCACGTCACAAATAAGGTTATCAGTTTGATGCTTACAAGCTTCATGTAGTGGAGATAATCCTTGTACGTTCTGTGCATTTAAATCGGCACCGATTTCAATGAAGTAGTTTATTACGTCTTGGTCAGATCGCATTACGGCACTATGAAGCGGAGTGTTTTCTTGCTCGTCCCTGATTTCGAGGTCACCACCTGCTCGAACCAATGTTTTAGCAATGGAAACGTCTCTAACTCTTAGCAAAGGGCCATCTTCAATAGCGTTTACTGCAGCCCCGTGTTGCAGTAAGATGTCAACGACAGCGCCATGACTGTTTTGTGTTGCCATGCACAGTGGTGTATTCCCTGCGTCATCAGGTAAGTTGACGTCTGCGTTTTCTTCCTCGATACAACGCTTTAGGAGGTCAATGTCTCCGAGAGTGGCAGCTTTGTGGAGGTCACTGGTTCTGCAAGCTATACTGTCGTCAGTCCTCTCCTCCAACATCTCAAATATGTCCTTGAAAGGGGTATGTCCCTCCATCTTTGTGATAGACTGAGAGAAAAAAATGTATTCGTATAACAGTAAAACAACAGACAATTCTACTTCTTACAACATCTAAAAAGTACATGTTTTAAAAAAGTATTATCTAATTTGTAATAAAACAGATTCACGTCAATTTACATTACTTATGAACAAATCACAAAATTTATCATTACGCTTCGAACTTTACTGAAGCAGCGTTGGCGATATAGTAAATGTTGTGTTTTTGTCTCAATATTAGTTTTAAGGTTCAACATGCCCTTTTAGAGACGGTGACATTAAATTTCAACCTCATGATAAATTTTGTTACAGTCCCAAATAAACATCGCTGTTGGAATATGTAAATTGAATATATTGAACTTTAAATATGATAAAAAATGCTTTGTTATGTAATTCAGTCTGAAACAATCCATTACAGCTGATACATTCATAAAAAATAATCGACATTAACAAATCAATTTCTTTTGCATCCGAATTAAAGTTACGAAATGACACCTTAAGTTCCTTCATAAACCCAGGCCATGCGGAGCTAAATTTATCTCCGTTACTAGCTGATGAAAGACGTATTGACCTTAAATATCGAGCTGTTTGTGGCCATTCTAAACCACAAAACAATTGTTGTGTCCTAAAATGTATCGTTTATATTGTAAATGCGAGCTTTGTGGTCGCTAGATTAATGACTGAATTTTAAATATTGTGTCATTTAATAACACTCAATATCATTGTTAATGAGTTCAAAACACTTTTAATAGACATTATCGGTATAAAACCTACATTAATGGGGGAATGGACACAATTACGTATAATCGTATCTATCAGCATTTGTCAGGATACATTTGTATGAATCAGAGTAATCTCCCTTGAACCGCAGAACCATAGATTTATATTAAATTGATTCTGAAGCACTAAAACTGGAATTTGAAATTTTAATGTTATGGCACGACGTATGCTACACACGAAATCATACTTTGTCATTATAATAACATATGTAGTATATACATGTCTAAGTAGATATATCACGGTTACGTTGATGTAGTACATGCATGTTGCCTTTATCAGTAAGACGCGTTAGTCTGTGCCCTTTGTTATCAAGCGGTAGTATGTTGACATTTATATGTGACTTATTGGTGAATATATAAAACGAGTAAGCGAATAAATCTTCACCTGCGTGAGAACAAGTATTGTTTGTAGGCTGACCTCAGGGCTCCAATCATGGCAGTACTTTAAATCAAAGATGTGGAATTTACTTATCTATTTTTAAGATGTTGAATGAATTTCAATCCGGAAAACCTGATGAAGTCATCAGCACAACATTAATGATTTCTATAACTTGAAATGATCACAATAAGCTACATTATTATTTCATGTTGGTACCATAATGTGGAATTAACAGTTTATATTTAGTTATAGATTTGCGTATCAAACGAAAGGAAACGGGATGTAGGAATATGAACAACATGTATGTACAAGCAGATAATTCGACAGGTTTCATGTACGTGATGTACACTATAACAAAAGTCATTCGAATCTACATGCATACGCTATTATTGTACATTAAAGAAATATGATTTATCTCGCTACTACGTAGTACAATTAAGTCCTCTTGAAACGTTCCTCAGCAAAAACCTACTTATAAGATATTTTAAGATACTGTACAATGCTAAAATATCACCCTATGTAGAGTGACCAATATAACAGCACTTTGACTATATATCAGATCCGTGATATAATAGCACTACCTTCTGTTATCGGGCTAAAGGTACATGTATATACGTGAACACCTAACCTGGGGACTTTTCTGGAAGAAAAAAATCCACAAAATGTATTTCACACTGAAAAAACATTGTAAGATGTACCTACCTTTTGGTACAGTTAGATCCTCACCCAGTAATTATTTACATCGACAAGGGAAGGCGGTGTATGGGCATATACATGCCGATTGTTCTATATTTAATATATTATAAGCGATCACATGCGACACAGAAAAGCAGCATATATTTTGTAGATAAGGCTTATCAGTGTAAGGTGCATTAGGTATGTATGAAGGGCCAACACGAGTATCATCAATATAATAGGAAGGTTAACGAATGACATATTTGTTTTATCAGGAATGAAATTTAAATATTCAAATAAAATCCTTGGGATTTATTTATCTACACATATTTAATTTTATAATAAATGAAAATCATTTGTTTTTACTGAAAATGACAATATTATATATATTATGTTTCGGTTAGCTTGTATAATATATATAATACTAATAAAAAAAATAGATTACGAGATATCTTCAAAATTCAAACTGTTTTGGATGCCAAATTATTTTTATAGTGAAAAACCTACATGAATCCTATGGAACATTCTTACTTTTGGAGAAAGTTCAACATTTTCTCCGGATGTCTGCTCATCAAATCCATCGCGGCTGCCATTTTTAAAAAGTCTTTATCATGAACATGCTTATTCCTTTTATGTTACCTCTCAGTATTACACACATGTTTATACTATCACACACAGGTTTACCACATGTATATACTATCACAGACAAGTATTACACATGCATATACTATCACAGATAGGTATTACACATGCATATACTATCACAGACAAGTATTACACATGTTTATACTATCACACACAGGTTTAACACATGTATATACTATCATACACAGGTTTACCACATGTATATACTATCACAGACAAGTATTACACATGCATATACTATCACAGACAGGTATTGCACATGCATATACTATCACAGACAGGTATTACAAATATATATACTATCACAGATAGGTACTACACATGTATATACTATGGCACACAGATAATACACATGTATATACTATCACAAATATATATTACACATGTATATATACTATCACAAAGAGGAATTACACATGCATAATGTACTCTCTCTCTCTCTCTCTCTCTCTCTCTCTCTCTCTCTCTCTCTCTCTCTCTTTGATGATGATGTCATTTTATAATTATGATGATGAATGTCATTATCACACGACGACGACAACGATGATGATGATGATGATGATGATGATGATGATGATGATGATGATGATGATGATGGCGTTCTATTGTATGTTGATGATGATGAATGTTGTGCTGTTGAGTTAAAATAATGGTGAATGGGGTGAGTGTTATGCTGAACCACGAGTTATTTAAGTTGGGTATGTGAGAGTGTGTTTGTTTATGTCATGTTAATGTAAAAAAGGATCGATCAAATATCGTTACCCGCGTCTTACTGCCAATAATAATGCATGCATCTTCAACTGCCTATATAGTGAGATGTATGCCTATACATTTCTTACAAATGAACATTTCTGTGTAAACATATCTTGATTAAACAAACCAACACAAACTTTCTCCAATACCATGGACTAGTCACTGCTATTCACGAGATTCACCAGATATGTTTTAAATCTCTTTAAAAATCGAAGCATATATACATGTATGTCATTCCGACTTCTTGCAAACTACAGCCATAAAAAAACACATCAAGAAGAAAATAATTTACAATTACCATATTATATCTTATTTTCGTCACTTTAAATTAAAACATGCTATTGATGCGACAAGAGTGTATTTTTATGTGCATGATACATTTGAGAACATGAAAGTCATAGTAACATTCACCAGATATGTTTTAAATCTATTTTAACATCGAACCATATAGATGTCATTCACACTTCTTGCAAACTACAGCCATAACAACAACATTAAGAAACATTTTGACAATTACCATATTAGATCTTATTATCGTCACTTTAAATTAAAACATGCTATTGATGCGAAAAGAATGCATTTTTATGCATGATAAATTTAAGAACATGAAAGACTGTTTACTTTCAAAACCTCCATATAGATCTAAGTTTATGGCGCCTTATAGATCAAAGCATGGTTTCAATGATAACCTAAATAGGTATACTGTATTACAAAATATTTAGATGTGTATGATAAATTTGAACAAGAGTAACATTTAAGGATTGGCCGTCTGTCAGATTGCAGTTAGAGCCAATATGAATGCAATCTGGCTGACAGATAAATAGAACGACGTCCGTTATGACTGCAATCGGACAGACGTTCAATCGTGATTTTTACATTTCCTCATACGACCTGTCTTTTATTAATAAGTCGGATGAGCTTAATTTATATTTCCTGCTGCCGCAAAACCTCACTTATCCAATTCTTGAAACAGCCACAGACGGCCATTATCGGAACGAAAACTTTCCAAACAACGGTCGCCATTAAAAAATGTAACCAGACAACAACTGTTAAATGCAGTTAAATGGTCTATTATATGTGCATAACATTATAATCCAAAAGTTAGAACATACCTTCCTATTCTGCATTTCTTCATTTGTTTGTTAAACCCGTCAAAATGCGAGTTGTATGAACCAAACGACAACAACAAGTCAGCGGCTATCGTATCGGTGGGAGTGGCTGCTAACACCGTCGTCACGGAAACCATGGTCATGCATGTGACCAGATAATTCAGACTGCAGATACTGCCCAGTAACTGCAGGCTGACTTTCCATAGAGTTAATGGAAAATGGGAAGGACATACGTACACATGTAAATATAAGTTGGATGCTTTAATCAACATACAATATAAATACCACACAGACCGTTCCTATGTAGTAGGGAATAAATATTAGCTCTCCTGGACCAAATTTCCCTAAATAATGGTAAATTTATCTTAGTGTAACACTAACAGGAGAGGAAAATTCAAAATGCACGGCCAGACTGGTAGTCGAACCCTGGACTCTCGTATAGCGACTTGGTCACCGGCGAACAACCCAGTTAAGTTCCTCGCTGAAGTCTTTAATCTACCCCGAACACTCACGGGACTGGACCTTTACAACTTTCTTTGGAGTCTATTTATTTGGGCACAAAATGTGTGAAAGGAGAGAGAAATTAATTTAAAATATCTGTATCCTGGTAAAGATATATGTTCCACCCAGTAGGTGTACATGTCCATGTAAGCCAAAGGTTCAAATATGCTTGTATACATATCATATAAAGCACAGTTAAATACTGATGAATTATGCATTTATGAATATTCATGTTCACAGAATTATCTATCAAAGGTTAAGATTTCGATGAAAGATAAAGTACATTCCACATAGTTCTTATTAATGCAGCTTTGAGTTAATCTATATTTTAAGATTTGTATCATTTACAAATAATTTTCTACATTTGATTGTCTCAGTTGGAATAACTTAATGAGTTTATGGTATTGTAACTTGTATTACAGCAGTAAATAATGCTTAATCTGTCCATGTGTAATCTACTCTCTCTGTCGTGTTTTATTTTGATTGATGTTATTTTGTTTGACCTCTTGTTACACACTTTGTGTGTCAGAGCGTAATAAAAAAAATGTTGAAATCTTGAATCTTGTAAAATAAAATATTTACAATTTCTTTCCTTTTATATGAAAATACTTAATTAAATTCAACTTTCAAGTTCAACCAATTCAGTGAAATGTTTTATTGCATTATTAGTAATACAGTGCATACAAATGCAGTGGACCATTTCACACCATGTTATTATATTTTAAAACAATCTACAACTATTAAATATGCAAATCAGTTACATTTGTAGATGCTAGTACTTTTTATGCTCCCTAGCTTATTTAGGCGCTTACAACCAATTGCTCTCAGAAAACACTTGTAAGAGCAAACAGTTGTTCATTATTTTTGTTTGTTTTTCATCTTTATTATATTTCATTAAAGTTACAGAAGGTATTGGTTTCTTTTCAGACATGATAGATTAAAATAAAGGTGTTTTTTGGCCACAAGAAATAAAATTTCCGGATTACAGAGTTTGTCGCGAATATTTTTAAATAGAGAATTGTTATAGAGAATGATTTCAGACACTGAAGAACCGCATGCATATGTGGGAAAAGACCATTCTATAAACAGGTCTTGCAAAGCCAGAAACTAGCAATTTCCTGAATTGAAAATAAATATTACACAAATAGAAGAGCTGCAGCTATCTTCAATTTTGTCCCAATTTTAGCTCGCACATCCCAATTAATGTACTGTTCATTGACCTATGCCTGTAATCTGTCAACGTTTCTTCACACAATTTCATCTTCTGAACCACTGACTTAAAGTAAACTTAACTTGACACTTGATACATTCATATCGATGGATAGTGGGGATTCAAAATTGTACAAATGGAAGGACTAACCTCCGGGGAGCTGAAATCTGGGGCCCGAAAGAGGTTGTCACACTGGTAAAATAAAAGCTTTTTCCTACCGACTCGGCTGGGGAGAATTTCTCTTTAGCTCATTTGGTAGATCGTAAGTAAGCCAGAGGTCCCGGGTTCAACTCCTAGCGGAGACATTGAAAAAATATGGTCCTCTGTTACATTGGCACACACGTAGAGACTCGGGAGATACGACAAAAATACTCGGTGATACTTGCAAAGTAAAACTATGGTCCAGGTATAAAGTCGCTTTGTTTATGGGACGGTGTCCATAGTTGTTTACACGTGTCGATTTGGGTCGTTTAAAAAACACCAAAACACTATTTCCGAATCTAAGAACATATAGAAAGATCCCCTTATATATGTAGCTTGAATAGATATAGAAACATACTTAATACTGTTAAGCCATTCCTCAATTTAAATCAACTACGATTGTCATCGCACAAATGTGCGCAAGCAATAATCGTCCAGATTTTCATCGTTCGCACATCGTGCACGCATCTTGCACACATCGTGCACACATCGCACATCGTGTAACGGTATGCGTTCCCACAGCTGTATTACACGATATACATTATAATTATTATGTAAATGTACAATTTAACATGTACATGTACAATGGACACTCTTAGTATGCAATACATGTATCTACTCCTTCTTAATATTTCACTTAAAACTTTATGCTTATCACACACAAAATAGATATTATTGATATCAATCATATTGTGTTTGAAGTCAGTTCTACATATGATTT